ATAATAGTAATAATAATAATAATAATAATAATAATAATAATAATAATAATAATAATAATAATAATAATTCAACGCCGCTCATTTGATCAATTTCTTTCTATAGTATTCGTGGTGATAAAAACAGATACAATACTGTACTTATTTTAATTAATTTACCATGTGGGACACCTTTTACTGAGAATTTACTTAGCGTATATGGAAATCATACACAAACCAAAATAACCCCTGCCTCACCTCGTGGCGCAAAAATAATTACTTGTATAGAGTAATGTAAGTTAACTCATTCTAGTTGAGAGAGGAAAGTTAACCGATGTAGTAGGTGGGGTGTGTACCTGCTGCCCTGGGTGTAGTACACAACCTGTAGTGTTTCCCCCGCCTCCAACACCCAGGATCCACCCCTGTTTGTATACCATTATCATAACACTCTCCCTCGATTGCCAATTTACTTATATGCGGACATTTCGTTTAATCGCTGTTTGTTTTCAAAATATTGCATCCGTATAGTCCAACATACACCCAAATCTGCACTGATGTTGATCACAGTCAGATTAGAGAGCGCAGTGCACTCGGGGGACCACTGAGGCGTGCTTATAACATGCTCCTGAAAATAGCGCGGCAAACTGTAGTCAAATTCAATAGGAAAATGATAATTAAGACGCGATTTTGGTTGTGAAATCTCATAAATTTTGACCACACACAATCCGTCTCTTAATACCTCGAACAAAGAACAATTATCTGATAACTCAACACAAACAAATTCCTGATACCTAGCACAAGAACAACCCTCAGATGAAAGTAATTAGTATTCAGCACAAACCCTTCGACGTGGTAAATCACATCCACCGCCATCTTAAGCTAATTGGAGGTAAGTAATGTGAGGTTCCCGTTTACTGACGATGTGCCAACAACCAGTTCCACAAGCTCTGGGTCCCAGCCACCCTCAGCCCCTCTTAATTACGTCGCTGTGATGATGGTAATGGCTGTAACATTAGGCAGGATGGAGGCTGTCGATGAAGCTGTTGGGCGGGAACCTCGTAACAGCACCGTGACGCTAGAGGTTGACGGGCACTGCTGTGGTGCTCGCTCTGTATTAACAAAGATTCGTAGGTTAATTTTCCCCCCCTAGCGGGTAATGAGAGGACACACCAAATTGCCTCATTTAAGCAGTGACACAATTATGGCGACCAATATGGTGTCTAAAGTGTACCGTGACTACCATAGCTTGATGAGTTCTCTTACCAGCAGTTGGGGAAATAAACTAGGGTACGAATCTTTTGGGGATCTGGACCCTGGTCTTTACGATTAGTGTGATGGCGTGATCTTTCCCCCTACCATTAAACGCCGCACCTTCCTAAAACCTGACAGTGAATTCCCGGGACTTTTATATTTTCGTAACTGTAATTAAGACTCGGCAGTAATTTTTTTATTTATATTTTTTTTAAATTTTCGTAACTTGAAACGAAGATTAAAATTTACTTCCATGAGAGATTAAAGATAATTAGGAAGGTATTCGCCCTGATGTTAGGTTATTACAGCAGTGACCACACACAGCGAGCTTCATCACCCTCCTGGCACCACCAACAACAATACCAATCGAAAATTATATCACACTTTCCGTGTCTTCCCCCATCCCGCCCTCGACGTATCATATTTCAGTGGCGTTAATTAAGCTGGCACAATGGACCATAAAAGGGGCCTTATGGAGCAAGTATCTAGAAGCCAAGATAGCTAATCGCTCCCTAATTAGCTGGAGATGATCAGGCGGGTAATCATATTCATGGCCTCGGGACGGTGCCGCGGGGGTTGGTGGGGGGTGAAGGCGGGGGTGGGGGTGGAGGATGGGAGTGGGGGCAAGATTTCGATTAAACTCTCCTGCCTTATCATCTTCTGGTCATTGTGGAAGTTTGTTCATTTGATTATATTACGCTCTTATCTGTTTTCTTATATTCAACACTGAAGTTATTGTAGTGTTGGTTGTCGGAGGTGGCGAGTTCTCGAATAACTGGAGGTGATGAACAAGAACTATAGGAAGTATAGTTGAGCTTAGTGTTGTAGGCAAGCCGAATGTTCTTAAAAGTTCCGTGAACGAGTAAGAACAGTGGATCAAAGCTGTGTGTTATACATCTTTGTGTGAGGCAACACTTTGTTCGTTCCTGCTAAATTCAGACATAGTTCAGTAACAGATTTTGTACTGTATATTTATCGAAACGCCAAGCGTCGCAGCTCCGACACAACAAGAATATCCAAGTAAGAAATATTCAATAAACAACATCCAGAAACCTGATAGATAAGTTGTGCATTCTTTAAAGATTTTTCCCTCTCGGTGTTTAAATATGAATGTACAAAGTAAGTCCTCCATTTACTGGACTGCACAAGGCTCAACAACGTAACTTAAATACCAGACTTTAGTTTAGAGTAACAACATTCCGGCACTTACAGACTCCACCACCAGATGGACTACAACACCGCTGCTGTTGCTGCAACCGAGCGGCTGATACATGGTGAGAAAGCAAATGGGTACCCAAATACTTTGATGCAACAAGGGCATTGCTTCGTTCAACGGAATGCTTCGAACCGACGTGGTATTTATGGACTTGGGTTATACTAGACTTTCGTCAGTAGCTTCCAAGTCAATTGATATTTTGTTTATTAGAGTTTTATCATCGTTTTATTGTTTTTTTTTCAAATTAGCATTACGTAAGTGAAATATTCTTTCATCATTTGCTATATTCAGTATATATTACATATATTTGAATCCCTGATGGAGTTTCCCAGCAAACTGTATGAACCAGTGAGTCTACGACACCCGTGAAGCACCTCCGAGCCACGGCGATGATTCAGGTTTCACAAGGTGTACAGGGCATATGACGGACACGTAGACATTCGGAACACCCTAATTTATTATGCGTTCTTGTCGGCACTTCATTTGATGAACACCCAATCGGGTGAACAATCTTAAGTCACAGCCCCGTACGTCGTCCAGGATTAAATGTCTCCTGTAACAACTTGTAATGAATATTAACAAATGTATTTAAATCCAAACAAATCCTGCACTTTAGCATTAATATTTGATTATAATATCTATAAATGGTTGAGAATGGAAGACTGATGGGCTTCTTTTACGATTATAACTACGCCACACGATTCACTCAACAGGGTATCATTGTTTGCTCCAGCTTACAAATTACATATTTCCAAACCACATAATTCTTTAATGACCTACAATTTTGGATTTCCTTTTAATGCTCAAGTTTGGGTAGATTAAGTTTAAATAGGTATATTGAAAAGTTTTAAGATTTTGTACCTAAATGGCAGTGCTCTAGTTTCTGGACACGATGTTTTGTTTAGTTCAGTCAATGTCTGATCACATAACGCCATCTACAGCAAGTTTCTTGTGTGGAGTGTTTTTATTTGTTCGGACATGGTTGAGTATTACTGCGTGTGTTGATCCTAACTATTTTACATCAAAGAGTCCTCCTACATACAGACGAACTCTAAAATTAGTCTCCCCTCCGTCATGAACAGTGTCTTCCCCCGTGTCGGTCGTGTTTCTCGCTGTTACAACATGTCAACAGCAACATCTGTCTCTCGGAAACTCGATTTACCGCCCCCTTAATATGCAGCTCCATGTGTGGAAAAGAACCCCTATTATGTTATCGTTAAATTTCCATCACTACAGTACATTGGTTACCGCTGTGTTGCTATTCTATAAAGTTAGCCACCATAAGAGCAGAATAGGATCTGTCAATCATGTATAAATATAAGTTTCACGTCAAGAGACAACCACTCAGTATCATACGTGACACTTCCTTAGCTCACTGCAATATGTTAGGTGGTGGAGAGGTTATAGAGTGGACACAGTTGTTGATAGTCAAGTTGATGACTGTATGGGCCTACACATTTTTCGTGTTCACTTTGATGAAGAATTATAGCGAATTGAAAGTTTACTTTATATTAAGTTGTTCCCTTCGCTGGCAGAGATGAGCAGACACCAAACTCATCAGCACAAGAGTATGGGGGGAAGTTCTCTGACCAACTATATACAAAATCATAACAAATGACGAACTCCCTTGTAACTGCAGTCTATCACTTCCAAAAGAAACCACTTAAATAATTATTAGGGTACAAACGTTAGTCACATATATACACTTTTAGTCATTAAGTACTACTGGAGGTCTCAAGAGGTACAGATGACCCCCAGAAATTATTATCGTGGTGAAGCGTGTAATCTAAAATTTACATGACAAAAGAAAGTTAGCGCTTCTTGTGTGGGACATAAGCGGTGAGGGCTGCGTTGCCAAGGGGGTGGTGGCCATGACGAGCCGTGAGCGTGTAGTGTTCAATAAGGCAGTACAACATGACCGCCACCTCTACCAACCACCGTCTGTGTTTACATCAGAGGAGTCCCCGTCACACATTAGTCTCGTGTACCACTATCTCGGGTAACTGTACCGCTTTTCTGTCTCGCCTACCTCACGATCGTCTAGTTGTCATAATATTATCAAATGTATAATCAAACCCCATAAATTATCTCAGTGAGGGTTAGGTTAAGTTAGCCCTGATATTATTCCTATATAGTTTATATTACCTTTATCAACACGACTGCTTCCATATACAGTACAGCTAAGAATTTGCCTGAAAATAGGAAATATAATTCCTGTCAATAATCTCCAATTTGACACCACAATGATGGACAGAACATCACCTGTTACTTGTAAGCCAGACTGTAGTGTGAACATACATGAACACAACTACAATATTCATAGTTCCTTTTCTTTTAAATAACTTCGCAATACAAAATAAACCATAGTAAATTTCTACTGTCTAAAATGGCATAAAATACAGATATATAACTATTACTGAAAATATGATGAATGAGTTTACCTGCTGTTTGTTACCTTTAATTTGGTAAACATTATTGGCCGGTGCTTGGTATGTGTGGTAAAAGGATAAATCGGGGCCAGTCTCCAGGTATTTGATTACGCCAGCCAGCACCACTCTTAAGATACTCTGTGGGGAATGTGTGCAACAAGTTTGAGTTCTTTACTTGGTCCTGCACTACACTCAACTGATACCCACGGGTGAATCACTACACTCTCTGAAGAAAGAATCGACATATTAGTGCGTTCACGAAGCAACGATAGGTATTATATAGATTGCCCATTGACGACAAGAAGAAAAACAGAACTTTCAGGGTTTATTGTCATAAAACATACATAGTATATTTGATTCATGTGATTACATTTTACTGGTAAGTCTAATGATCACTGAAGATGGGAGAGGCAATACCGAATGCATGAAAAGGTGTGTTTGAAGAAAGAATTACTCATTAGATGGAAAGTTATTCCCTCGATCAGTAAGGTCGAGCTGTGTTCCTGATTAGTCAAGGGTGTTAGGCACCCCTCCCTGGGCGGCACCAACCCACTCCCCGGGCCACACCACCCCTCCCCCGGGCCGCACCACCCACTCCCGGGCGGCACCACCCCCTTCCCGGGCCGCCCCAACCTCCCCCGGGCCGCACCACCTCTCCCCCGGGCCGCACCACCCCTCCCTATACTCTGCAAGGTACTTGGTTCTCTCCCGTTACACTATATAATGTCACTGTACATAATGCATTTATAAATAGAAGAATCTTCAGTTTTCAGTAAGTTATCTCATAAAACTACATACAATACAGTTTTAGATATAAGGCACTTGTAACTTAGGAAACAAATATATATATTAGAACATACAGGTTGTGTTAGATTTGCAATGTAAACATATTTAAGGCTACATTATGTAACCGATACAAACTTAAATCTTTCCTTAATTAACCTCTACAACCATACATACAGTAAGGCACTCATTGTTATACAGTTAAAGAGACCAGGGTTGTGGTGCGTGCTGAAGACACCCAATAGTACAAGTTAAGGCTCAGGAGGCTACATTACCGATACATGTGGTGGTTTATGGCGGTGGTAAAATACAGGCTGGAACAGGAATTATACAACGTTTGGGCGCGGAGCCTTGTTGACACAGACTAAAACTAAAGCTTCGCGCCCAAACGTTACAGAATAAAACTGTAGCTCCAGCCTGTGTTTCTTCCACCACCATAAACCACAACATTTGAAAATATGTCTCATACAAATACATAATGTGTTAATTAATTACTTGTTGGTGTTATATTGTTGTAGCCCGAAGACCGTTCTCGCTACTCTACAACATGTAAATAGTCTACAGTCCTCTACTACTAATTGGAATATTAATTCATACAATCTACAATATGTTTGATATGATATTAGTATTAACAAAAACTTATTCCGGGATATCTATCAAATGTTTTTACTTCCACTACTTACTAATTTGGTAACAGTTCTCATGAAATCATACAAAAACTTGGAACTGTCTAGACTCTAGACAGGTGCTGCTAGCTGGAGTGTGTTAGGTGCATAAGTCAATAGTGGGCGTATGAGGGCTTTGAATAGGTGTGTTTTGGTTTTGATTGATGCGGTTCTGAATCTTTATATATTCCCGAGTGTTTTGTTTGCGATCGAAGCCTTCGTTTTGGTGTGTAGTGTCACGGTGAGGGTGTCGTTGAGTAGGACTCTGTAGGAACCTTGTATATAAATCTTCGTAGTTTCGTGAGTTGTGATTGGGCAATCTGTTTGCGTTGTGTTACGTGTTTTGCTATGTCTGTTATTGTGAGTCCCAGAATTTTGCCTTCGTTGGAGTATTGTATAGGTACGTTGTTGACTGTGATTGGTGCAGGGTTTATTTTGGCAATGTGTATTATCATTAGTTTCTGTGTATTGGTTTGAATTTTCCACTTTTTTTCATATTCGTTGATTTGCTCGATGGCGTGGGCTGTTTTCCGTGCCATCATCTGTTTGCCCTTGCCTGGATGTCGGATGATTTGGGTGAATATTCTCCGTGTATAAGAGGTGGCTTTGTGACACCAAATACTAGTCGAGAAGTGATTGGTAACCCGATTTATTCATGTAGGACCATTATTTGACTTCATTGCGGCTACATTTTGCTACATTTGGGTACATTTGGGTAATTAGTCGGACGGTCCGACTAATTACTCTAGACTCTAGAGCAGTGGTTCTTAACCTTTTTACTACCACGCCCCCTCTAGGAATTGGTCCTTCCCTCCACGCCCCCCTTGCATCTATGAATAAAATTCCCTCCCAGATTTTAAAGAAAAGTGAAAAATATTGTGTTTTTAGTCTTTTTATTGAGTATAAATTAGTGAGATACTTGACCTTGCTTCTTAGCTACTAGATCTTGAATGCGTGGTTGATTGCCAGTGAGTGCACAACGTAAATCCCCTTCAACGTTCAGCCTGTTTCTGTACTTGGTCTTGACAGCAACGAGCGTGGAAAATGCAGCTTCACAAAGATAGTGGATCCGAACATAGTTGGAATCCGAAGAGCCTGGTGTGAGATCAGAGGGTAAACAGGAAGTTACTTAACCCAGAACGTCTCAAGATCCAGTTCTTTGAAGTCTTCCTTAGCTGTGGAGTTGAACTTCAACTCAAGAAACTCCTCTTGCACTTCATCCGAAACATCAGCTACTTCACATTGAAATGGGTTCCTGATGAATTTCCAGGCCTCACGCTTCTCAACTATCTCTGGGAAGTATCTGATGAATTCTGTTTTCAAGTCAGTTAGATGAGTGATTATTTGTTTCTTTAACTCAGAATCAAGGTTACCGTGAATGAGAGCAGAATCCAAGTTACTAAAACTGGCTGTATTTCCCTGCTGAATTCGACACTTCCAGAGGTCGAGTTTGGCCATGAAGGTTCGAATGGTGTCGTGGTGCATGATGATGTTGATGTTTTCCCTTGTAGTTTAAGGTTGAGAGCAGTCAACGCTTCGAAGATGTCCACCAGGTAAGCTAGAGATAGCTGAAAGCCTTCAGACTGGAACTTGTCATGGAGATCTGCCTTCTGCTTCGAATCAAGAAATATTGCTACTTCTTCTCGTAGTTCATAAAGCCGTCCAAGCATGTTCCCCTTTGATAGCCATCGTACGTTCGTGTGAAAAAGCAAGGTTTCATGTTCAGATTCCATATCCTTACACAGCAGTTTGAAGAGACGACTGTTTAAGGCTCCAGCTTTGATAAAGTTGACTACCTTGATAGCCACGTTCAGGACATCTCATTTCAGCAGGTAAAGCTGTAGATACTAAGGATTCACGATGAAGTATGCAGTGTGTACCTAAAACAGACGGATTTTTTTCTTTCACCATTGTAATGAATCCAGACTGCAGACCAAGCATGGCTGGAGCTCCATCAGTGCACACCCCTACCAGCGAGTCCCACGAAAGTTGGTTTTCCTGAAAGAAGTTTGATACATCATGAAAAATAGCTGCTGCTGTTGTACAACTTTCTATGGGGTGACAGAACAGCATTTCCTCTTTTACACTGTTGCCGGACACATACCTCAACAGCCTTAACTGAATAAATGTGAGAGAAGAGGAATTATTGCCACGGACGTGTGCAGAAGACTGGGAGAAAACGGGGCTCACCAGTCACCAACGAGCAGTATACAGGTCCAGGACGAGTTAACCCCCCCCCCCCATGTGTTTCGAGGGATAGGGAGGGGGGTCAATAAGTACAGAAAATGGTAAGCCCTAAGACAAAAAAGTAGCCTAAAGAAAACTAAATTTATAAGGCGACACTTTTGCATTTTGTCATAAACTTCTCAATATTAGCCCACGCTCTTGTTAAGAGAATAAAAACTATAATTATAATTAGAGAAATTCCTACTTTTTTCCTAGGGCTTGCGCCCCCCCTGGAAATTACTGACGCCCCCCAGGTTAAGAACCACTACTCTAGAGTTACACAAGAGAGAAATGATAAATACAACAGGGGAAGGTAGGTTAATTTTTACATAACATCTACAAAAACACACTACTGTACTGTGCTTCAATGAGTTTATATTTGATTATCACAGTGTGTGGTGTATAGATACACGTCTTACTACAAGTCCTCTCTCTCGTGTCTGCCGGACAGATGCAGTAAGCTTGACACCCGTTAGCAGAGTAATGGTTCAGCTGGCTAGTTTGGTCTACAGGTGCTGGCGGAACATAACCTCCAGTTGGTTGGCCGTCTTGGGGCAGTACTGGGACAGGTGGTAATTCTGGAACAGCTGGTAGGCTATGACGGGATCCTCCAGAAAGTAGTCCTCATTGATGTACCGCAGGAAGGCCGATTCTGATCCTACAGCCTGTGGCGTCTGTCAGGAAGTAACACAGTCAAGACTTCGGTTTATATGGAGAACAATAAATAAAAGGATATATATATATATATATATATATATATATATATATATATATATATATATATATATATATATATATATATATATATATATATATATATCTATATATATATATACACACTACTTAAATGACACAAATAAACTTACACATGTACAGTATGTACAGTCACTCAAAAAACTAGCTTTACTTGGAGGGGAGGTGGAGGGGGGGTGAATTTCAGAATGAACACTAACTCCCGTTGTCTCGGTAGGGTTGTCAGAATCCTTCGTCCGTTGCTTCATATTATCTCAACACAATTTTGTAAAGATAGTTTTTTTGAGTGACTGTAGAAACACACACCAGTCGATGTCATGGTGTTGAGGAGGTAAACACTGAAGGCAGCTGCGTGTGTAATGAGGGAAACGACATGTGCTGTTATGTAGAAGATGATAACACTCATTAATGTATTTAAAACTATACAAATGTGTCGTGGGAGAGTAAAGAGGTTGAGGTGAAAATCCTGCCCCTGTGTATGAAGGAGTCAATATTTGTTGCAGCCCTCACAATGTTGTCTTAGTACTGAGGTTCCTTCTACATCCTAGCGTTCCTTTCACAGTATGCCAACTAGTACAAAATAATTTCTCCATACTTTAGTCAAACATCTTATACGAGCAAACTGCAAATATTTTGTTCTGTACTAGACGTCAGTACCTTTAATTTCCTATTATAGAGAGAGTGAGAATTATGCACTCAGTGTACTCTGGCCACGCACGCACAGTCCATGATGCTGTGAAGCGATATCTTGGACAAGTGAGACGATCCTTGTGTTGCTTCCAATATCTGAGAAAGTTTTACACATCAACTTCACCCGTTTTCGTAAAATATGATAAAATAAGAAATATAAAAAAATCAAATGCGTAGTGGTCACAGTCACTCGTACCTTGCTGATATCATAACTAATTATAGGCGCTATGTGTATTATGAGTCATTAAAGGCATATTCACACCCATTACGATCGTCATCTAAAATGATATACCACCCAAAACTTTTTCCCTACCACGATATTACATTAAATTTAAATGACCCACAGCACTGTATGTTCTTGGGTGTTGTCACAGAAAACACAAAACAAAACAAAAAACAAAAAAACTAAATCTTCTTATGTCTCGGCCTTGAATATCCACTGTGATAGATGGTGATCCCTTGGTAGGATGCTGGTCCACCCAAGGGTTGTTGTACCATCAGCCAGTGCACCCTTGAGTGTACTCATTAACTGATGAGTGCACAAGGAATTGTGCACAAGGAGAGAAGTTAATTTTTCGCAATACAACTATTATAAATACAAGAGAAGTTTTTCATCAGCAACAAACAACTTATAAAAACACTCCACTAAGACGGGTCACTTTGACAGGTAGTTGGGAACAATGACATGGTGAAGGTAAATAACAAATGGATTGTAACATCTAGCCACTGGGCTTCAATAAACGCTTGAATCAAGTCTATACAGAGAATGAAGACTTAACATTATCAACCAATGTGAACAGCCGCCCTAGGGTGGTGGTACGTTGTGAGAGTTGGAGCGAGAGATAAACGTTAGTAATTTGTTCTGTCATCAACTTTACGGGAGTGATGAACACAAGGTCTCGCCTGGTTACCTGTGTGAGATCCATGTCGACAATAAAGCTCCTGGGGAGAATGGTGAAGTCAGAACAGTTACCAACAGCGAGACGAGCCACATTCTTCACGCCGCACGCCTCCTTCACCGCCTTCGTCAGCAGCTCACTCTGGCTAGTGATTTGGTCAAAATTGTTGTTGGTGCCATTGACCTGTGGGGTAATGAGAGATATGAGAATCGCATTATGCCAGGGCGTGTGTTTGTACAGTACCTACTGGAGGAGGTGTGCGAGGGCGTGGAAGGTCAACAACTAATACCCAGGCGGTTCTGGAGAGTATCTATGTATCGAATAAATTGAGCAACTTTTCTGCCCAGTGTGAGGATGGTGCCCTTAAGTGACCCTCGCTGACTGACCTGCGATACTCTGATTACGGCAATCCTGTTATCACAATAAGTTGTACTTAAATTAATCTTATTCAAAAGACATTTATCTGGCTTTTTATATTAATGATGGATCATTATGTGTCTAAGGATTCACATGGAAGAAAGAGCGAGCAAGAGACTAACTTTACCTAACTGTTAGGGTATAGGGCCCGGGTCCTCACAATCAAAGAATTAGCTCATAATTAAGCTAGATTAGATTAGGGAACAGTAAGGCTGGAGCCCATTTGGCCGGTGGTAATATACAAACCAGGTAGGTGGTGAGGGCGGAGAGGAGTGGGTGGTGGGCGGGGGAGGAAAGCACCACGGGGTCCATCGTCCCACCCTGCCCGGTCACCAATATTCCTGACCCGAGTCCTGCCGCCTCCACCCACACCGGCCGTGTCATCACCACACCCAGAGGCACCACCATGCCGCCTGCCGCCCACAGCAGTGCCACCCGCGCTGCCGCCCACACAGACCAGTTGGGATAACTGCTCCAGCTTCTGAGCTTAGCCAGTTTCTTGACGGGCGTTCTGGTGACGATCTGCAAGAGGGAGGAGGGGGAAGGTAGCGGAGACGTGTCTAGGAGGGCACTGTTGCTCCCACAAGGTCAGATTACTTGTTAATGAACAAGGTAAAATGACACTGACACACTACAGGTATGACTCAACACACTAAGTCTCCGACACTGTTTACTGACTTAAGTTATCATTAATACTATCTACCACGTTTATATCAATCTCACCTCTATATAAGTTATATAATTAACAATAACACTAAATGTACTAAACAAAACAAATTAAACAAGACATTCTTATCATCGTCTAATGTTGCTTGAGACTGAGCGAATAAAGGACATTAAAAAACAGCAAATTTATGAATATTAAAATAAAGTAAACTGCAGTAGGTGTTGTGGTGGCCCAGACGAGGAAGCACCTATCAACACTCCAGCAACAGTCCGACATAAAGCCAAAACTTCTCAACATAATTGCACTAATGACGTTATTTGATGACGTGTAACGCTTACCTACAACTATTACCCAACTCGTGTTTATCGGTTTACTTACTAAATCTAAAGTTCACTACTTCAAGTCCACGTTACGAGTTGTGTCTGAATTTAATCGTGGAAATATTATATATGTATCGTCTATGTGTACGAGTACTGTATAATCTACCTGCTCTACACCTGACCAACCTCACCTGTTCATGGCTCGTATCAGGAACTTAAATCTCCCCTTACCAATATATTCATCCATTAATACCTTCATCCATCAATACCTTCATCCATCAGTACCTTCATCCATCAGTACCTTCATCCATTAATACCTTCATCCATCAGTACCTTCATCCACCAATACCTTCATCCATCAGTACCTTCATCCATCAGTACCTTCATCCATTAATACCTTCATCCATCAGTACCTTCATCCATCAGTACCTTCATCCATCAGTACCTTCATCCATTACTACCTTCATCCATTACTACCTTCATCCATTACTACCTTCATCCACCAATACCTTCATCCACCTTCCTAGCCTCCCCCCGAGTCATCTCACTCTACCCCAAAGTCTAACTCTACCCACGGCAGCCCTGGACTCACCTTCGGTACCTCGAGGAGATCCAAGCGAACTCCTGGGAGGCGTGTGACCCATTGACCCCACACGTCTTTGGGCCCAACCGAGGTCTGCCACAGGTACACATACACCTGACGCCCTATATGCCCCATCCCGCCCTCTTTCTTGCTCTTCTTGCCCTCTTTCATGCTCTTCCCGCCCTCTTTCTTGCTCTTCCCGCCCTCTTTCTTGCTCTTCCCGCCCTCTTCTTCACTCTTCGCGGCATCCCTGACCCTCTCATCGTACTTGTCCCCGTGGAGGCTGCTCGACTCTAGGTTGTCGACTCTTATAGCAGCGGCTTCGACGGAGCAGGCATCAAGGGCGGTCATGTAGCCGTGGGAGGGCGGGGGCAGGAACATCATGGGCGGAGGGAAGGGCATAGGCTGATATATAAGAAAAAAAGTGGAGACGGATATATGAGGAGAAATATATATGTAATGAAGATAGTGATATTGATCCGTGAAATGAAACCAAGCTGAACGAGACAGTGAAATAAGATAATTAAGATTAGGGCAGAGTAACGCGGTAGGGAGGACCTCACCTTGGAGTACTGGAGTGTGAGGGTTCGACTCCCCTGGTGTAAGATGGTCAGGGTGGCGAACCCGAATATACAGAGAATCACAGCCATCCGGTACCAGGAACCCTTGACCATCAGGTACACCAGCCAGCCCACTGTCAGGTAACATAAAGGTTAGTGACAATATGAAGACTCCAGGTACTTCTCTAACCTACTGTCATGCTCCATAAGGGTCAGTGACAGGTGATATTCTCATCTCTAAGACCAGATAACTTAAGTGTCTCCTTCCTGACACTGGCACCTCTTATCACGTGTGTGTGTGTGTGTGTGTAAATATATACACAAAAGCACAATATTAACTTTTTGTATGTCCATTCTGTGCCAGTACCGACCTTTATTTCAGGATTCCTCCTCCCCTACTAACCAACCCCTTGTATGTAAACAGTGTGCGTGTATCTACCAACCCACGTCCTGCCTCAGCGGCCAGCCTCCCCTTGTGTCCATCGACATGTGGTAAAGTGACAAGTTTTACTCCACAAGTTCTACACCAGTTGAAGCTACGAGTAAAGTACCTAAATCAAAAGCACGAGGTGGAGCCCGTGGTAGACAGAGTAGAGCACCCCGGGGCAGTGATGTGTTTAAGTCCTATTAAAGTTTATATACACTATTACTCTGCTATGAAGTGTCCTTATATATGGTCTCCATACATGGGGCTACTGACGAAGGAGAGTTATTTACACTGATACAGGATACATACACAATACTTTATAATGCAGCAGTATCGAGCAAGGTTTGGTAGGTGAAATATAATTCTAGAAACACATACCATTCTAAATTTACTTATATTATCATGTAACAACTATTAAGAACTACTATACTAATAATTTTGTTAGTTTTGTTTCTATACAACATCTTCAACTATCTGTATCATATCTACTTCATAGTAAGGAAAACAAGATGTTCTGCTCACGTGTTGGTCTTGGTCCAATAAGCATTGTGCAGTTGCCTGTAGAGACACTAACAGTAATGCTATACTGTACGGCCAACACTGAGTGAGTGAAACAGCGGCTGGACGAACACCTGCTTCTCGTTGTTGCCTGATGTAGCGACGGTGACAACAGTAAATGATTCAACCAATCATGTACCGTCAAGTCATATATGCCTGTAAGAGGGTTCACCCAATCAGGTGGTGGAGTCTCACACACGTCAGGGTTAGGCCAATCAGGCATTGCGTCAAAAAGTTCAGCCAATTAGGTACCGCATTCTCACACACGTCACAGAGTTAAGCCAATCAGGTACTGCATTCACACACGTCAAAGAGTTCAGCCAATTAGGTATCGCAGTCACACACGTCACGAAGGGGGAAGGAGTAGCTAAAGTGTCATAGAAGAAAATATTCACAAATAGAAAAAATTATAAACATCTGAAAGTTCCATTATAGACTCGTTACCAGAGTTCCTTTTCACATTCTAAGTGTTGTCATTTTAGAACTTGAAACTTTTTTAAAACTTTATTTATTTATGGTCATTCTTCTTTCGACTGAGTGACCAGAATTAATTAATGATATTCTTGGTGATTTGTCGCCAGACGCATCAATTACCATCATTCAGTATTAACTATAATTTGGCAAGAATATTAACTAAATAACACGGGAGGGAAATGGGAAACAATCACCCAATGTAAACATCCTAAAATCACCCTTGTAAACACCATTAAATCACCCTTGTAAACATTATTAAATCACCCTATGTAAACACCGTTAATTAAACACTTCTGATCTACACTGTAAAGTTGACTATATACTGTAGTGTTAGGGAGGTGCTGACGTCACACAGCCACGTCACAAGATGCCACCACTAGAGTGAGTCACGTATAGGTCAAGAGGGGTTAATGGTCCAGTAACCCAGCACCACATTACACGGGGCGTCGATTATACGGAAACATCGTTATACGGAATCTTCGATATACATTAGTCTCGTTGTACCGAATACTTGTTATAGGGAATCAATGTTATACAAATGCAGCGTTATTATGGATTCCTCGATATACGGAATCATTGCAATACGGAATCATGGCAATACAGAAATGATCAATATACGAAATACAGTTTAACGGGAAGGCCACTATTAATAGAGCTTGTGTTTAAGGGTCCAGCTTTTCCAATACCGAATTATCAAAGAGCTAATTACCTTGAGAGCACAGTAGACGGAGGATCAAAGAGTCGAATAACCGAGACAGGATAATCCAAGAACCTAAACGCGATGTCTGATAGGTTAGGTTAGGTTTGGTTAGGTTAGGTTTTATTTCTCCTTTGAATTGATCCGAGTTGTCTCACATCTTAGTTAAGTCGTCTTAAGCGAAATATTACATCATTAATCGTCTGTTGTTACTGTTTAGTGTTTACCATTAAGTAAGTAACACCTGTATTCATCACCTGGTCCTTAAGCACACCTGCGTCTGTCACCACTCTCACCATCACTGTTATCACCTACGCCATTATCGTGCCTTTGAATCACTGCAACTCATTATACCTCACTATCACCACCACTATCGTCATCCACGCCTTTAATCACCGTAACTCATTATGGTTCACTATCAATATTATCACTATCACCTACCTCATTATCTCGCCTTCAATAGATCACCATTGAACGTAATCAACGACATCTGCCCATCGCTCGTTAATCACCGTGTGTGTGTGTGTGTGTGTGTGTGTGTGTGACAATATTTCACACGAACATTAATACAAATATCACTGTTAAAGATTATTATCGATATCATCATCATCATCATCATTATTGTTATCTTGATTATCATTATTCTCATTACTCATTGTCATTATTATCATCTTCGTTACTATTATTATCCATAAAAATCAACGTCGTCATTATCATTATCTTCATTATTTTTATCATTATCATCATCATCAACTGTCACCATCGATTACTGTCTCTCCCCGATGAATACCAAGGTTAATACTCATCACCATTACTGATTTTCACCATAACTGATTACCATAACTAGCAATTATCACCATTATCAATCACTATGGCCATACAGTCACCATAACCACATCATTATCGAGCTGTAGTCACCATTACCAGCAATCACCACCGAGCATTATGACCTGCCATCGTTACCATCAGGGGGGGGGCGGATCCAGTCCTCGGTTCCCTGGTGATCGTAGTAAACACTGAAGGGCGCTACTTACCCCCTTGCTACTACCCTTCCCCCTCACCACTACTAACCACCATTACTATCCTTACCATCACAAACCACCACTACTACCCACCACCACTATCTTGACCATTGCCCACAACTATTTTCACCACTATCATCACCACTCATTATCACCATTACAGTCACCAAAATCATCACTCTGGTCACTTGAAATAATATCCACCTGTATCATAAACATCACTTTTCATTATCACCATTCACCACCACCCACAACCAACCTCACCACTATCCACCATGACTTCACCACTATCCACCACCACCACACCACTATCCACCACAACTTCACTATCCACCATCACTACAACTTCACCATCCACCACCACTCCAACTTCACCACTATCCACCACTACCACAACCTCACCACTATCCACCACAACTTCACCACTATCCACCACCACCACAAATTCACCACTATCCACCACCAACTTCACCACTATCCACTACAACTTCACCACTATCCACCACCACCCACCACCATCAACTTCACCTCACCACCACCACCACAACTTCACCACTATCCACCACCACCACCACATTTCATATCATCCACCACCACCACACATCACTATCCACCACCACTTTATTTGCTGGTGGTTGCCGCCCTCACGATGACCAGGCATGTGCAGGTACTATACACTACATCAGGTCACTACAAGGTACAGGAACATACGTGAGAAGGGAAGGCGAGGAGCTGCGTGCTAATGCTGTTGTTAGGAGGTAGTACTGAGTGTCTGGGGTGAACACACAGGTGGGTGGAAAGGGGTCAGTAGGTAGGTGGGAGGGAGAGGGGTGAGGAGGGAGGAGGTGAGGGAGGGAGAGGGAGGTGAGGGGAGGGAGAGGGGGTGAGGGAGTGAGGAGAGAGGGGTGAGGGAGGGAGAGGGAGGGGGAGAGGGGGTGAGGGAGGGAGAGGGGTGAGGGAGTGGAAGGACGGGGATGAGGGAGGAATCAAAGGGAGGGAGCGTGAGGGGTGGAGGAACCAAGGAGAAGGAAGGGAGGGACGGAGGAGGAATAAAGGAGAATGAGGGAGAGAGAGGGGAGAGAGGGGAGGAGGGAGGAGGGAATGAGGGGGAGGGAGGGAGAGAGAGAGGGGGGAGGAGGGAGAGGGAGGGGAGAGGGGAGGGAGGAGAGAGGAGGGAGAGGGGAGGGAGGGAGGGAATGAGGGGGAGGGAGGGAGAGAGAGGGAGGGAGGGGTGGCAGAACAGTGTATCAATATGTCGTTGTGTATCGTCTGTGTTCGCATTAAATGGAATTATTTGGAGGATTGTGTGTGTGAATTTTAGAATCAGGAATACCGTGATATGTGTTGGTTCATTTACCAGGCGAACGATAATTGAGGAGCGTTTCCTCGTCCATGAACGGTAATGAAATGATTTATTCCGGCAATGGCGTCACACCGGTACATTTGCTTAATAAAATAATGGGGCGCTGAACTACACAACCATCATGGCGCTGCACCAAGTTGTTGTACCGAGAGTAATTGACATGATTACAAAAATTATCACTGAATTATGACACGTCATTAAAGTCAGTAATTAGGCCAACTCTGAAAGTTATCCAGGATTATGGACGATACGACAAAACTGTTGGGATACATCACGGTAATGACTCCCGCTCACCGCCATATTGAATCCCAATTATTAACAATAAATAAAACTTAACGTGAAAAATATTGAATTAATATCGAAAACACAAAAAAAAATTATATATGACAAACTGGCATACTGTGCGACGTGTGTGTGTGTGTGTGTGTGTACGTCGCCATAGCACACATGTGGATGGGAGGGGAAGGACGGGGGAAGGAGGGGGGGGGGGGGGGGGGGGGGGGGAAGGAGGGCGAGGGAGTGAGGGGTGGTTATTGGTGGTGGTGGTGGTGGCAGAGGGTAGTGGTCACTGGTGTTAATGTTGCCACTATCCAGGGCTATTGTGTACGACATAGTGGACCCAGTTATAGTAATGGTATAGTAGTTTGAATTAGTGGTTATAGTTGAGGTAGATTGTGGTAGTGATGGGAAGAAGACTTTTATTTAGACCTAACTGACGTATATATATATATATATATATATATATATATATATATATATATATATATATATATATATATATATATATATATATATATATATATATATATATATATAATAATAATAATAATAATAATAATAATAATAATAATACTTTATCTGTGAACTTTACAGTCCTCGTCTCTACATTAATAGAATACAACAGTTTGACCATAAAAGATTACCATTCATTGCTATTTTCTTTTACCTCTCGAACCTGTGTCAGTGGAAATAAGACACTGTACACTCCCCCCCCCCTAACTATTGTTTTTAATTATCCATCAATAAAAAAAGGTTTTGGTGCAGCTTCTTTCTGCTAGGCGATGTAACACGACTATTAGTGTTTAAGTGACAAACCCAATAGCTAACCTACATAACGATAATTTAACTATTATTATTATACTAGCGAGGATCCATTGAAAAATACTTGACATAACGGTATATTATCCTACCCCAGTCAACCACGACGTGTTATGATGAGCTAAGTGACAGTGGGGTAAACGGATGACCTCACAGATTGACTGATTGACCTTTGACCCGTGGCCTGATGTGTCCACAAACTTGACGCCCGAGGGAGCAAGTCCACCTCCTCTACCACCAACGATCATCTCTCTCTCTCTTTCTCTCTCTTTCTATTCAATTCTTTCGACATTAATTTCTTGTTTTGATTTCGTGTTTAATTTCATAATTATTTACATGACTCGCATTATTATTATTATTCATTCGTCAGATCAAAAATATTACAGTACACACTTGTCTCCATCTAGTGTTGACATACACCTCCGTCCCTCATGACACACTTACCATCTGACACACTTATTCATACTTTACCGACTAATATACAGGGTGGTGCTTACGTCACTTTACTTAAGGCGTATTTTGGCTACAACTGTTCTCGGTAAAGCGCCAACCTGTATTGTTTACTTGTGGAGAGAACATTCTTCATGACAAGAGATACTGCAAAGGGTGAACATTCGTCAACCAGTCAGCCTTTTGTTTAACTAGACACGGTAACCGATATATTATATATCAGAAATAAAGCGACATAATATCTTTAGGTCATATAGTTGGCAAAAAAATTGAATATAATCTGAATATAAAGGGAGGCAATACGAAGCAATTTGAAACAGTAAACATGACTTGTGACTGTTGGCAGCCCTGTGGTTTAATGACTGTAACCTTGAGCAACTTATTAAGTGTTAACATCATCCTCTCTTTTAACATCTATAAAATTCAATATGAAAAATTGAATATTATTTTCATTTTTGAGTAACTTCACAATTTTTTAGTTGGAGAGAAGCCATAAACACATCTTCAGAGCTACCAACTGTTTCCGACTCTACACTGTTTAAAAAAAATGGGACTTTCCGCTGACGGGATGGAGCGATAGTCGTTCTTGACAGTCTATACCTGTAAACGATTACATGTGTGTTTTGACTTAGATGTTGACCGGGAATTAAAGTGATGTCACGATGAGAACTGTCCACGTCTAGAACACACATGAACCGTCGTTGTGGGAGTCTGTGATATGAAAACCATTCACAAATAATTTAGATTTCTTGATAATGTCCGAATATTACCACGTCTTTCCGTCTGCATGACCGCTTAATAACGTTGTAACTTCAGAGAGCTGTGATGTTTTACTTTTAAATTTTAGTTTAATTTTTTCCTGAGTCATCCCTGGAACCTCATTGTTTCAGCTCAGGATCAGCCATGGTTAAGACTCCTGCAAAACTTATATGACACACTTCTAACCTTACCTCGAGGACAGCTGCTTGTGTCAGCTCCTCAGCATAATGCCTGTATAGGATTTTGTCCATTATAAATTCCCTGAGGTCCTTCCACCTTAACTATTGGTCAAGTGTCACCATGGAGGATTAGCGCTGTGTCCCCCCCCCCCACCTTCATTAGGTCAAGCAATAGCCTTACAACTTTTAGATTAGATTCTTGAGGTGATCCTTAAAGGCTTTTTGCATTTAGCCAGGAAAGGTGAAGGTCACAAGATGAAAGATACTGCAGCTGCCTTTGAGCTAGTGCTCCAAACTTTCAGATTACATTTTAGTCTGGGCGGTAAGATTAAGCTGAACGATATATTGGGGTGGATTTTGGTAAGTATCACCCCGTAAACGACCCGTCATTGGTATATGTACTGTGCCATCACGCATATAATTATTCTACTGTTATTATAGAACATTCCTCTTGCCTTATTAGTTATATGTCACTAGCATGTCACAGGTAGCACCAATGATCGCCAGGTACACACGTCTATCAAGTAACACCATATCCACACTACATTATCACTGTCAAGGTGAAGACGTTTTAACACTGGGATCAAGAACACACTACCACCTTACACGCTCCTCACTCCGGTCAGTTTTAAATATCTGGTATAAACAACTCCCCTTAGAAAAAAAATCTTACTGTACATCGAAGCCAGCCCCCCCTCTCTGGTGTCATAGATAAAAGACAACATGAGTTACACTGAGCTTACATTACGTTACAAAATAAAGGCACTTGAGCTTCAGTCACTCATACGTCAGCCAGGAAAACATTTGGTTATTTACAAATGAGCAAATTTCTGGGCATTTTAACGCCTGTGTATATCAACAAAATTAAACACTCCTACTGTTGTAACAATAATGTTATTAAAATCTGAGTGATGAAGACCGTAGATTTTAATAGACACAAAGTGAGAAATATTTTTTTCCTTCCCTGTCCCCTCTCTCTTCCCCCTCCAACCTCTCTCTTCCCCCTCCACCTCTCTCTCTCTCTCCTAACAGTGGCCACAGGTTCGCATCCCTCACTAGCATTACAGCAGCGCCTTCTCCACCAGTACCACAGCAGCGCCTTCTCCACCAGTACAACAACAGCGCCTTCTCCACCAGTACCACAGCAGCGCCTTCTCCACCAGTACCACAGCAGCGCCTTCTCCACCAGTACCACAGCAGCGCCTTCTCCACCAGTACCACAGCAGCGCCTTCTCCACCAGCACACAGCAGCGCCTTCTCCACCAGTACCACAGCAGCAACTTCTCCACCAGTACCACAGCAGCGACTTCTCCACCAGTACCACAGCAGCGCCTTCTCCACCAGTACCACAGCAGCGCCTTCTCCACCAGTACCACAGTAGCGACTTCTCCACCAGTACAACAACAGCGCCTTCTCCACCAGTACCACAGCAGCGCCTTCTCCACCAGTACCACAGCAGCGCCCCACCCAGGAGAGCATCACAGCAGCGCCTCCCCTGGGCTGGCAGACACATAAGCCGCACACAGCGGGGGGGCAGCAGGTGAGTGGTGGAGTTTTAATGGCTTAATAACACGCCGTTACCCGCGCGTTTTAGCATCAACTCAGCGCCAAGCAGGATAAAAATAGCCGAATTAATGAGTGTTTAGTGCAAGTTGGGATCTAGTGAAACTCGCCTGAGTGGGACGCCCACCCGACGCGTACAGTGGAAGCCGCTTTACACCTACCACCACCTGTTCTCACACTTGGTACTCCTGCCAGCACTAATGAGTACCTGTGTTGGTAACTGCCCTGTACCACCACAAACGATGCTATCTGTCTACCTGTCTATTAGATCTAGTAGTGTGTTGTAAACTGCCTATTAGTGCTAATAGCGTTGCTATCTGTCTATTAGTGCAAGTAGAGTATTGCTATCT